CTAGTCCGGGGGGGCGTGCTCCCGGGGTGCGCAGAGGGCCCCCCACCAGCGGGGGCCCTGGGGGTGACCCTGCCTGGTCCTTAAAGTGGCCGCCCCCGGAGCGCTGCTGCTCGGCTGCATGCAGCAGGTGCGGGGCCCTGTTGGCTCCCCACCGCCTGAAGCCCCAGCACCTCCGGTGGGTTTGGGACTAGGTCAGCATCTTGGTCGCTCCGCCGGGCATCTGCTGGCCCGGGGGGAGTCCTGCTGCAAGCACGAGCTGCCCCGTTCGTGCCGTGTTGGAAAGCTGGGACCTTAAACGCCGCTTTCCCCAGGGTGGACAAGGTCTGGGTGTCCAGAGCTGGCCACCACTGACTAACCTGCTCGTACAGCAGTGGCTGCACCCATCTCTGCTGGTTCCTAAGTCATGCTTAACTTATGATTAGCACAGGTCCTAACATGATCTGTTTTCCCAGGGTAGACGAGGCTTACAGGGCTACTGGCATGCATGAAGCTAACCCTACTGGAGCAGGGCCCAAGCCAGGTTATATGAGAGCTCTCCTCCTAAACGCAGTGGTTCTGCCCCCAGCCTCTCCTTTTCAGCTCGCTGACGGAGAACAGACTGGAAACAGGAAGGGACATAGTCCTGCAGCCCCTCGCTTTGTATCCCAATAGACACCTCTCACTGTGGACAGACGAGGGTCCTCCACGAAAGGCTTTCACAGTGAAGACATCTCTCTAATGATGATGTGACTGTGTAGGGGACTGTTACTGCACAGGCCCCTGGCGTCCAGTGGAGACAGCTGGCTGCACTAGGTTAGGGGCTAGACAGCGATAAGTGCTAGCCAGGGCCAGATCGGTGCATGGAGTCTGCCTAGAGCACAGAGAAGCTGAAAGCTGCCGTTAGGGGAGCCACGAGACGAGGCATCGATAGGTGCGCCATAAATACCTAGCTCCCTAATTGCTCCCCGTGGAACCATTCTGTTGCCTCCCAGACACGGTACCACTTTATTGCAGGATCTTCAGGGCTGTAATATTGCCTACGAACCCAATCCCTAGGCACTCCTGCAGGCAACAGCTCCTCAGCCTACAAGCAGCTGAGTGTGACAGGACCTCGCACCCACAAAGAGGACCAGCGGCAGGTCTGAGTGCAGGATCGGGACCATTTCAGAGGCTAGAAAGGCAGAACCAAGCCCCTGCAAATGTAGGAGCCAGTTGGGATGTGTGGATTTTTTCTTCTAGGAGGGGAAAGGGGGTCCGCAACAGGCAAATTCTTTGTCACGCCAAGTGACCAGCCCTCAGTATACCAGTGCATGGCAGTTGTCTGTGGTGACTGTGGGAGCCCTGCTGGCATGTTTGAAACAAGTTTGAGCTGCAGAGAAGGAACCCTTTTGTTAGACCAAGGACAGATGTAAGCTGGGCAGCCCAGAGAGCAAGCCTTGCGTGTGCAAGTTGTTTATTCATAGCTTTGTTCTTCCCATGCAACAGCAATCCCCATCTTTGCTTTGTTTTATTCTCCATCTGGCAGCTGAGCATGGTTCCTGCACCTCTGGTCTGGACCCAGTGCTTTTGGCTGTTATTGGGATTTAAATTAATTTAACCACGTGGGCCAGCAAGCAAGTCCGGGAGCTAAGACACCTGGGTCCTGCGCTTGGTTCTAGCAGGGGCTCACTGCGTGACCCATTACAAGATGCTTAGCCCCGATCCTGCACACACTTACCCATGTGCTGAGCTCTGCTTCATTTGAACCCAATGGGACAACATTAAAAATTAAATGTGTTCCAGGGTCAGGGCCCTAACTTCTCCCGTCGGCAGAAAGGAGGCAATTGTGCTTCCTTTCCAGACCGGCTCCGAAGAGCACAATGTTATCTCTCTCCAACCTGGCTAGCTAATGAAGAACCACCTCATCAGGCAAAAGAAACCAAAGGCCTGGTTATATTAATCGCGGGCTAAAGGAATGCTTACAAAGTGTTAGTGACATAATGAATGGTACATGTGTTATGCACTTCAGTAGTTGGTGTAAGAGATGGTTATAAGCCACGCTCACAGGCGACTTATGATATGACAGTCATTCACAATGGATTAATCATCTCTAAAACTGTTTGTAAATACATCCTGTAAAGTGAGCACCCGCTCGGTTTGCTTACTGATGTCTGCAGTGTCCTCCGGGCAGTGTGCCTGTTTTGTTCCCTCCCCTCTGAAATCATCTCTTTTAACTCCTTCTTTCAGGAAAGCCCAAAGTGTATCAAGGGGTTAGAGTGAAGATCACTGTGAAGGAATTACTGCAGCAGAGAAGGGCCTGGCAAGCAGTGGCAGATGCAACCGTAAGGACAAAGTCTTAGCTTCTTCCTCCCAGCTGTAGTGGTAGAATAAGAAACTATTTCTTTTTAATACTAACCTCTCCTGCATGAGGGTATCAAAGCCAAGCCAGCAAAGGTGACAGGTCTGAGAGTGCGGGACTGGGGGAACTTACCTGCATGGCAGGGGAAAGTACCAGATATAACGGCAGCAAAAAACCGAAAGTGAGTCTATTTTGGGGTAATTGCTCCTGCTCAAGGCAGAGCGCTGATTGCAGGATGGAGTCATTGTATTCTGTGCGGCAGCGTTTGCACCAGGGACTTACCCCAGGGCTGGCTAAATTTCAAGTTTCATCACAGCAGTCGGTTTCCCTGGGATAGTCCAGGCCTCCTTGCGGCAGCAGGAGCAGAGCATGCTCTGTGCCTCAGAGCAAGGCAAGTAAAGCCCAACTTGCCTGTCATGAGGAACATCCAGTGTAAAACTGGGTTATACTACAGCTTCCAAAAAGTTGCCCACAAGAGTCTAATTTCTTCACCAACCCTGACAGGCCTCCCCGTGCTCACTCGTTATCAGTCAGGGACTGATGGCACCAGCTGTGCCAGGCTCTGCTGTCCCAAGAGACCGCTACTGGTCCTTAAATGTGCACCTAAGACCTAGGAGGGAAGAGGAGGGGGGAACAGACTTATTTGGGATCCTCAAGAGCTGGAAGCCTGACCCAAACCTGATTTCAGAGGGCTTTGGATCGGGCAGGGCTAAGCTCAGCTCCCGTGAGCGAGCTGAGCAGTCTGACTTCCATCCGAGGAATGAGGAAGAAGCTCTGGTCAGCCAGCACGGTTGCTCTGTTGCTGACCGACTCCAAGTGACCCTGTACAGAGTTTCTCCAGGCTCAGGGAAAGGCAAAACACGCATGATTTATTTTCCCTGTTGAAATGGGAACTTCAGTGCAAAGAGGCTGCACTGCCCGCCAGTGTCTCAATAAAAACAGAGAAGTCGCCTTGGGTTCATGACCATGGCAATGACCTGGAATGAGCATGAAAGCTGAAATTCTCCAGTGCCCCATTGAACGTGACTTGGGGAAAACCCAGCACGGCTTCCACAAAGGAAAATCACGCCTCTCTAATCTACTGGAAGTCTTGGCCGTCGAGTGGATGCAGGGGGACGGGAGGATATAATGGATAGGGAGTCACAGACTCTCTTCAGGTCCCTCTGCAAAGATTACTAAATCCTTCTGGGGTGCCAGCACAATCAGGAATCAGAAATGGGCCATGACAGACAAATAGGAAATGATCAATTTGTGGTACAGCCAGACGCTAAAGTTGAGCAGGCAGTTTTCTGCCCAAGGGCTAATGTTTACTCCATTTCACGGTCTGCAAGGACAGACCCATGCAAGGGGAACGGGCAGCAGGCTGGCAGGTGGCATGGTGTGTGGGCAGAGGCAAGGCAGTTTTCACAGTGCCCTGTATTCCTGAGCACACATTTGCTCCCTCTGGAGTCATCAGGGTTTGCTTTCCCCCCTGCAGTGTTTTCCTTTACTGTTGTTGGGGCTGATCATGGAAATGTAGATTTTTATCTCTTGCCCTATGTTCAAAGCCAGCCCAGGAAGGGTTTGCAGATTCACAGGTAATGCCAGGCAAGCAGAGGTGAGCAGAGAACTATTCAGATAGGGTTGGGCTCTGCTTTCAGCCGAAACTCCCATTAACTGTATTGGTGCCAGATCAGTTCCTTGTTACAGGACGCTGGCTGCAGTCCAGTAAAGTGCTTAGGCATGTCTGTAGTTCTGCTGGCTTCAATGAGGCCATTAAGTTGCTTCATGTGAGTACTTGCTTTGCTAGATTAGGGCTTTGGCCATATCTCAGTACAACCCATTGGGCTGTTGGTGGAAGACAGACCTCTTTGGAAAGGAGAAGGGTTAATGCAGCCTGTTTACTGGTGTGGAATTAGCATATATAGAATAATCCACTCCTGGCAAGTCAGTCCCGTGCTCCGGCCGGCCCAGGGATTTGCATAGAGAAGCTGGTAATTCATTACTGCTTCCTGGTTCGTGACACTGCAGCTTGGATGGTTTTCAGATTGAATCCCTCACCTCCAGCTCTCTGCGCAGGAACCCGGGCAGACTGGCGGCCTGCAACCACAAATAAAGAGGCTTGGTGAACGGAGCCCGCTGACGCTGTATCACTGCGGCGTGTCGGTCCCCTCCCTGCAGCCCACAAAATGGCTTGCTGCTAACCCCCTCAGTAGACTTACCTGTTCTTCCTGCTGCAGCTCGGGGGCAGGTCTGAACTAATTTGCCATTTGCTCCTAGTTTGCGCTCGCACGGTTGCGCCCACAAAGGATGCCAGGCCACAGGAGACCTGCTCCCTGCTCAGCAGCACTTATCCTCTTCTTTTATTTGCTTTGCCGTTGTGCCTGAAGGGCCCACAGACCAGGGCCCGTTGCACAAGGTGTTTTCCACCCAGCAAACACCCTTTGCGGGAATGTTTGGGGGGTGCTCCGAACTAACGGTGTGCCCCACTCTTCCAGATGAGGCTACAGACCAGTAGATTTGCCACCACCCATGCAAAATGGAAATGGTTTAAAGTGTTAAATAACTGGGCACATGTTAGGAGGCCGCTGGTAGGGAAATCAGCCACTCAGGATTATTTTGAATAATCAAAGGCAGCTCAATGCTGTATAAATTTAAACCATCTGCTCAGAAAAAGCTCTTGTCGAGTGAAATGGAAAGGAAGGGCAAAACTCCTGGTCTGTTCAGTGGAGCAAAGTTTTCCCCTGACAAAGCAGGCTGCTTTCTGGGAAGACGCGATCAGTTTGCTTCCTAGTGTCCCCGTGTTAGAGTAATTAAACTTGCAGATTTCCGAGGGAAGCCTCCATGCCACAGAGCAAGGTAGTCAGATGTACATCTCAGATACCACATTTGGTAGATTATATAGACACATCTGAATACCTTTTAGCTAACACAGCTGTAAACTGTTCCTCACTGGTCACATTTAACCCGTAGGAAAGGTTGATGTCCTGTCCCCACCACCGTTTACAATTCTGTTAATTGCCACAGGTTAAAACACCACTGAAAATTCAAATGGAGCATTAACAGGCAGTGGAATGCAATGCACATCCAAAACGCTACGTATGTGAGCGTAATCCCATGCACCGGGCATCTGTCATTATCTGAACAGCAGAACAGCATGCAGATTCACGGTGCTATAAAGCTAATAAAAGAGCAGGTTAATGCATCTCGCACCTGTGCTGCCCCAGAGGTAGCAATACAGATGACAGAGGAGAAATCCTCACTTACCCCAGCGTGCAGGACAAAACTCTTTCTGGACAGTTCACACACAAGCACTTGCATTAGCTTTTCCCTCCTCTTCTCTTGGCCAGGTTCCCCGAGGTGGCAACGGTGGCAGTGTCCAGTTTCCAGAGCCTGCCTCTCCTCCTTGCACAGGTTGGTACAAAGAGCATCTCTGTTCCCCCCTAACTGCTCTTCCCTCTTGGTCCTTTCAGCCCCGGATTGCAGGCTCGAGGCAGGCACCACCACTTCACTAGGAGTCCAGCCAATCAGAACCTGAAAAAGGCTCACAAAATGCAGATGAGGATGCAGCCAGGCAGGCAGGGGACACTTCACCCTCACTCCAGTTTCTGTTCTCTTGCTCACGCCGTTTGCTCTTTGCTCAGGATTCCCATTCCTGGGTCACGACGTTGCCAAGGGACACGTCGCCTTCAGGCTTCTGTCTCTTGGGGCTGCCTGGATCTGCTTGCAACAAGGGACCAGAACATTGGAAAGCATTCCTTGTCTGCTGCTGATTTGGCTGGTAGCAGAGTTGGCTGGTATCTGCCTCTCTCACCCTCCCAGGGGTGTCAGACTTTTCAGCAGCACAAGCAGTTTTCTTCCTGTTCTGCACAATTATCCCAGAGTTGGGGGGGGGGGGGGGG